ATGGCAGCTTATTTCACAGCCCTACAAGCACTAAACACAATTAAATAATCGTAAAATGTGTGAATGAGATCGCAGGTTAGTGTTCACTCAAGCATAAACAAAGTTAGACTGCTCACGGCGCCTGCGCGGGGACGCGGAGAGAGCGAGCCAGTGGACAGGTCCCATACCCGGCGGTCCGAAAATAGGGGCGCGTTCGATAATAGGGACACAGTTTGTCCGAAAAAAATGGTCTTATTTTCGAAACGTTCGATTTTTGAGGTTCCACTGTATTAGACAATGCTCCTGGTCATCCTTCAAACTTGGCAGAGTGACTTTCTGGGGACATGAGCTTCATCAAGGTCAAGTTTTTGCCTCCTAATACCACTTCTCTCCTGCAGCCCATGGACCAGCAGGTCATTGCAAACTTCAAAAAACTCTACACAAAAGCTATGTTTGAAAGGTGCTTTGTAGTGACCTCAGAAACTCAATTGACTCTAAGAGAGTTTTGGAGAGATCACTTTAGCATCCTCAATTGTGCAAACATTATAGGTAAGGCTTGGGAGGAAGTGACTAAGAGGACCTTGAACTCTGCTTGGAAGAAACTGTGGCCAGAATGTGTAGACAAAAGGGATTTTGAAGGATTTGAGGCTAACCCTGAGAAGCCTATGCCAGTTGTGGAATCAATTGTGGCATTGGGGAAGTCCTTGGGGTAGGAGGTTAGTGGGGAGGATGTGGAAGAGTTGGTGGAAGAGGACAATGAAGAACTAACCACTGATGAGCTGCAAGATCATCTTCAACAGCAAGAGGCCAGACCTGAGGAAACTGCTTCGGAGGAGGGGATAGAGAAATTGAAGAAGTTGTCTATTTCAAAGATTAAGGAAATGTGTGCAATGTGGCTTAAAGTGCAAACCTTTTTTGATGAAAATCACCCTCAGACAGCTACTGCAAGCCGTGTTGGCAACCTGTACAATGACACTGTTGTGAACCACTTTAGGAAAGTCATAAAGGAAAGAGAGGTACAGGCCTCTATGGACAGATATGTTGTGCAACAGAAGTCCAGTGACTCCCAAGCTGGTCCTAGTGGCATTAAAAGAAGAAGAGAAGTAACCCCAGAAAAGGACTTGCCACCTCAAGTCCTAATGGAAGGGGATTCCACACTCTCCCCTCCTCCCATCCCATCAATCATCACCAGATCTTCAATAAAGGTAAATGTCATGTAATTGTACATGTCTTCTTCAGTTTGTGTGTATTAAAATTAATATTTCATGTGGCAAAATTTTTTTTTTCAATACTTTGGGGTGTCAGGAATAGATTAATTTGATTTCCATTATTTCTTATGGGGAAAATTAACTCGACTAACGATGAGCTCTCAGGAACTGATTAATAGCGTTGGTCGAGGGTCCACTGTACGTATTATTATACATATTATTATTTTTATTATGTATTATTATTATTATTATTACAATATAAATAACTTGTAATTTTTATTCACACAAAAAATATAAGATTTACTGTTATGCCTTATTGCAATAATTGTATAAATAATGTCAACCCATTCACGACTGCATACTGGAATGGACAGTGACGTCATTTGTTTACTCTTGAACATAGCCAAAACAATCGAACATTTCTCCTGTGTTGAGCTCAATTTCAAGGTACTTTTCATTGTGAAAGCTATCAAAATCATATCTATTTCTGTAATATATCTTCCATTCTATCAAATGAGACCAAAAAATGAGAATACGTACAACCATAAAAACCATACGAAAATACCGCTAATTGCTGAGAAATGAACTCCATTATTTATGCTTAGATTTCTTTCATTTTTGGTGTACGTTAACCCTTTGACTGTTTCCGACGTATAAATACGTCTTACGAGCCAATGTTTCTGACGTATTTATACGCATAAATTCTAGCAGCTTCAAATCAAGCAGGAGAAAGCTGGTAGGCCCACATGTGAGAGAATGGGTCTCCATGGTCAGTGTGCACCATATAAAAAAAATCGGGGAGCCAGTGGTGCATTGTGGGAATGCCATTTCAGTTGTCATTTTTCAGCATGTCTAGCGGTAAGAAATATGTGATTCCCCAGCAAATCTGGGACTCTTCTCTTCCCAAGTGATGCTCTAACACAGATGGAAGTGTCAGTGAAGATCAATTTCATGATTTGGAGGAGTTTGAGACCAAAAGCAATGGAGGAGGAGGAGGGGGAGGAGGGGAGGAAGAGGAGGAGGAGGAGGAGGAGGAGGAGGGAAGGAAGAGGAGGAGGAGGAGGAGGAGGAGGAGGAGGAGGAGAAGAGGAGGAGGAGGAGGAGGAAGAAGAAGATGTAATAATATTGTTCCCTTGAAGCAAGAAAAAAAAAGTCCACCCCATGACAGTGACAAGATAAGGGGAGATAACATCTGATAAGAGCTGACTTTGATGAGGGTAAAGGAGGGTAATATTACATGACCATTGCCCTCCCTTTGTTTTTGCTGGTACACAAACATTTCTGTCTGTCTATTTGTCTGTCTGTCAAGCTCCCTGTCTGTCCATCTAGCTCTCTGTCTCAGAGAGAGCCACAAGACTGTGTCATCACGTTTACTCACATCTTCAAGCAGAGTATAGCACTTTGTCTGGATTTCTTGGGTTATCCTAGGTAATTTACACTATGTATACTTGTATTTATGTGTACCTGTGAGACAGAGATAGGCAGACAGATAGAAAGAGAGACAGATTGAAAGATATAAAATGAGGGAGAAAGATAATTAGATAGAATGGAGGAGGGGAAGCAGCATCCGACCCCATTGTTTTGACAGGCGGTAGGGTAGTGACTAATGACACAATATGTCACTTTGACAGCTGCCGACTCCTGACTCAAAACAATTATAAGCCACACACTCGCACACAAGGAGGAGGAGGAGGAGGAAGAAGAAGAAGAGGAGGAAGAAGAAGAAGAGGAGGAAGAAGAAGAGGAGGAGGAAGAAGAAGAAGAGGAGGAAGAGGAGGAGGAAGAGGAGGAGGAAGAGGAGGAGGAAGAGGAGGAGGAAGAGGAGGAAGAGGAGGAGGAAGAGGAGGAGGAAGAGGAGGAGGAAGAGGAGGAGGAAGAGGAGGAGGAAGAGGAGGAGGAAGAGGAGGAGGAAGAGGAGGAGGAAGAGGAGGAGGAAGAGGAGGAGGAAGAGGAAGAGGAGGAAGAGGAAGAGGAAGAAGAAGAAGAATTGTTTGTTTGTTTTTGTAAACAAGTTTTGTAAACAATATATTGATAATTATGTTTGTGTGCTTGTTGTGTTGTATACAACGAGTGTATATATATACATTGCACCTTACTTTGGTCTCATAGGCCACATAAGTTATGTGAAAAAATAAAATAGTGAAAAAAACAAAAAACCTTCAATTACAAGTAAACTAAAGTTTACCGGTTGAGCGGCAGTCGCCGCTGTTGCCATACGCGGCTCATTTTCTGCAAACTTCATGGCTCTATATCTCGGTAAGTACCGATGGCAAAATTTTTTTTTTGGACTAAAACACTCAGAAAAATAATCTTAACATTTTCATAAGAAAAAATAATTTTTTTTTTTTTTGAATATTTGGCGACATAGAATGACAGTTTCAGAGAGGGACCTGAAACAGTCAAAGGGTTAAGAAGCATCTTTCCATCATACACTGCCCAAGTTTCAATAAGATAGTCCAACAAACAAATGAGATACAATTCCCTAGATCAAGAGCAAGAGTCCCTCACCAGTGTCAAGGAACCTGCCTTGAGGTCTGCTCGCTTATGGAAATTTTGTTCGTGTATGGAAACAAAAAATCAACCCATCGCCTGCTTGTATTTGGAAAGTAGAGGTTCCACTGTATCGTAAATTAGATTAGTCCATTTCAGACCCCCAAAAATACACTTACAAAAGCACTTACAAAAATACACATAATTGTTCGAGTTGGGAGCTGATTGTAAGTCAGGGGTCCACTGTACTTTCGTAATACAGTGGAACCTCAGATTTCGTAAGTCCTAGTTTGTATGTAAAACTATATAATTATTCTCTATAAAATATATATTTTGTTAATATTTACCATAAGAAATAATGTAAAACCAATTAATCCATTCCAGGCACCCAAAAATATTAACAAAAAAAATATATTTTACAGAAAATAACTATAGTTTTACATAGAAACTAGAGCACACAAAAACTTAAAATTACTTATTTTTAAAGTTGGTCAATAACATTGGAACTTAGTTATCTGATTCAAAACCCAGACATCCACCAACAATGCTCAAACAAAATTATCTAAAAACTGTATTTATCAGGGGTATAAGTCTTTCTTTCAATGTACCAGCCGTATCCCACCGAGGCGGGGTGACCCACCGAGGTGAGGCGGCCCAAAAGGAAAAACAAAAGTTTCTCCTTTTAAATTTAGTAATACAGTGGACTCCCGGTTAACGATATTTTTTCATTCCAGAAGTATGTTCAGGTGCCAGTACTGACCGAATTTGTTCCCATAAGGAATATTGTGAAGTAGATTAGTCCATTTCAGACCCCGAAACATACACGTACAAACGCACTTACATAAATACACTTACATAATTGGTCGCATTGGGAGGTGATCGTTAAGCGGGGGTCCACTGTATATACAGGAGAAGGGGTTACTAGCCCCTTGCTACCAGCATTTTAGTCGCCTCTTACGACACGCATGGCTTACAGAGGAAGAATTCTGTTCCACTTCCCCGTGCATAGTGATATAAATATGAGGATTTAAATATTTCATGGAATGATTAAGATAAATGCTTTGCAATTCTGAAAAGATTATTTTAAATTTTATAGAGATAATATCCAAATTCATCTAATAAAAAGGGACTAGAAAGTTATCAGATATAACTTTTAGTAATAAGTTAGTTGCAAACTTGTTGTGGTTTAGCGTACAGGAAAATAATGTCATCACCATGCTGAATTGCGGATAAAAAAAAAATCAGACAAATGATTGATGAAGCAGAAAAAGTTTTCCCAAAGAATAAATAATTTTTAATTTCGTCCATGCTAAAGAAACTCACCTGAAAATGGTTAGTTTCTAAAGCTGCAGAATACAATGGATCCCGCAGCTCATTGTATTTTTGCAGAGCTGCCATTACAACTGCCGTCAGCCATAACAAACCAACAATACACAACTTTGGCAAATAAAATGACATAAACGAACGTTCATTCTGGAAAAATGTAGAATTGACACATTAATGATAAATATTCAGAGATTAGTGAGAAGTCAGCATATTAAAGACAATATATTTTTGTTCCGGATTCTTATTTAACATTATAGTCAGGAAATAATCTTAATAATGTTTAAAGCTCAGAATAAAATTCACAACTAACCAGTGGCGGCTCGTAGCACCAGTAATGCCTATATGTACTATCGTACCGCATCAAACTTCTATTTTTAATACATCTCGTTTCAACAAAAAAATGAAAAATTCGCTTGTAAATACATTGAAAACAACATACGACAGATTTTCACTGTAATATATTTGTCAGCTGCAAATTATTTTAGCATAAGGTTGATGAAGTCATACATCTGGCAGTGAGCATTTGGGGGGACTGCAGTTCTGCAGCTCCTATGGATGAGCCACCACTGTAATTAACCCACAATTAGGAGAAGAAACGTTGGATGATCTTTCAGTCTGTCTTCAGCCATTATCAAATTACAACTAAAAAGTGGATCCTCTCAGTTTCCTCTGTAAATTGTGAATGTGTTGTGAATTGGTCTAGTCATGGTATTACGACTTATATTCACCTCAGAATGAAATGTTTAACTGAGCACTAAAACACCCACCTGCCGGAGGCCGTGGTACACACACAGCCAGAAAAGTAGAAGGGCACACAAAAATGTGACCTGGAAGATTGTGTCCACTAGAGCTGGTACCCACGAAGCCATTAAGAATGTCATGGGGAACAGCGGGTCTGTAAAAAGATATTATTTTTATCGGCACAATGCAAAAATTCAATTTCAACATCTTCAACACACTTATGCATTTATTCTAGCTTCCCTTCTCTACAAAAATATGGTTAATGCAGAATCTTTCTCTATTAAATCGATGACATGCAAGACGTCTGTTCTTGGAACACGTCCTTCCTATTAACTGAGGGACATTTGCAACATTGTGAGTGAATCTAACAATTAACAAATGCTTTTCAATTTCACGTCATTTTAACATTTTCACCTTAAAATGTTACTCACCATTATATAACAAAAGAAGTGGAAGAAGCACAGACATCCACTTCTGTTCAATGGACCAATCATATACTGCATATTTTCGAAGACTGTGGGCCAGCCAACACTGTTAATCAAAATAAATATTAACCCTTATGCAATATGTAAAGCTGTTGCACATTAATACTTATTAACAATATATTTTAAATATCCAGTAATGTTAAAACTTATTTACTCTCAAAAACATTAGGACTTCAGTTTTTTTTGCATTACCCATTAAAGTCTGTGGAAATTCCAGCCGGTCTATTGTCCATAAAGTTTCAGCTGAAAATGCATGTACCAAGTCTCTTTACTTTTCCCCAGTACAATACTTAAAACATTGTCCAATAGCAGAGATCCTTCATTGTTCTTTCCTTACTGTTCAATTCTGACAACCATTTTTTTTTTAATTTATGTTATTATTTGCACACCTTAACCCTTTCAGAGTTGGTCCCATTGTACTATGACTGAGACACAGGTCAGTCCCATAGTACAACAGTGTGCGCTCAGCTCGCTGCAACACCATTACTGGTATAAAACACCAACTTTATGGTATATTTTCATATGGTTATTATGGTTGTTTTCTCGGTTTCTTGGACTCATTTGATAGAATGGAAGATATATTACAGAAATAGAGATGATTTTGATTAGTTTCAGGATTAAAAGTAGCTTGAATATGAGCTCAAATTAGCAAAAATGTTTGATTTCTGCCAATATTCCAGATTACACAAATTGTCACTTGTCCAATACACATCCAACTGGTTGGTCTAATATGTGTCCACGAATGCGATGACATTATTTATACAATTATTACAATTATGCAGTAGTCTGCATAACAGTAAATTTTCTGTTTTTTTTTTTTTTGTGTGTGAATAAAATTCAAAATGGAAAGCAAGTGTAATAAAGGAGAGGCCTGGGGACATAACTAATGAACAGAGAAAATGTCTTTTTAGTGCCAGGCATATCTACAATGTTTATTCTGGACCCTATTTTTAAATTGGCCATTTTTATATTTTGTGTGAAATTGGCCAAAGTATCGATTTCTGATCACTTTATTGGGTGGTTAAAATAAGTAAATGGGCAGTTTCTTGTACTCAGTTGATAGAATACAGGGAATACTAGCAAAATAGCTATGAGTTTAGTCAACTGGAAGAATGGAATTGGTAGAAAACAGGGCTCAAAGTAGGCGAAATCCCCGATGCATAAATATCGCCAAGACCACTAACCTTGCGAGAACATAATTCCATAAGTTTACCACCAAATTTCATACTTTTGGTTTCATTACCTTCGGAAAAGATTCTCTATCATTTCACAAGAAAAAATAATTTGTTTTTTTAAAATTCTCCGACCCTGAGAGCAAGCTTTAGATCAGGGGGTTCCGACCCTGAGAGCAAGCTTTATGTCAGGGGGTTCCGACCCTGAGAGCAAGCTTTAGATCAGGGGGTTCTGACCTTGAGAGCAAGCTTTAGGTCAGGGGGTTCTCCGACCCTGAGAGCAAGCTTTAGATCAGGGGGTTCTGACCCTGAGAGCAAGCTTTAGGTCAGGGGGTTCTGACCCTGAGAGCAAGCTTTAGGTCAGGGGGTTCTCCAACCCTGAGAGCAAGCTTTAGGTCAGGGGGTTCTGACCCTGAGAGCAAGCTTTAGGTCAGGAGGTTCTGACCTTGAGAGCAAGCTTTAGGTCAGGGGGTTCTCCAACCCTGAGAGCAAGCTTTAGATCAGGGGGTTCTGACCCTGAGAGCAAGCTTTAGATCAGGGGGTTCTGACCCTGAGAGCAAGCTTTAGGTCAGGGGGTTCTGACCCTGAGAGCAAGCTTTAGGTCAGGGGGTTCTGACCCTGAGAGCAAGCTTTAGATCAGGGGGTTCTGACCCTGAGAGCAAGCTTTAGATCAGGGGGTTCTCTGACCCTGAGAGCAAGCTTTAGGTCAGGGGGTTCTGACCCTGAGAGCAAGCTTTAGGTCAGAGGGTTCTGACCCTGAGAGCAAGCTTTAGATCAGGGGGTTCTGACCCTGAGAGCAAGCTTTAGGTCAGGGGGTTCTGACCCTGAGAGCAAGCTTTAGATCAGGGGGTTCTGACCCTGAGAGCAAGCTTTAGGTCAGGAGGTTCTGACCCTGAGAGCAAGCTTTAAATCAGGGGGTTCTGGCCCTGAGAGCAAGCTTTAGGTCAGGGGGTTCTCCGACCCTGAGAGCAAGCTTTAGGTCAGGGGGTTCTCCGACCCTGAGAGCAAGCTTTAGGTCAGGGGGTTCTGACCCTGAGAGCAAGCTTTAGGTCAGGGGGTTCTGACCCTGAGAGCAAGCTTTAGGTCAGGGGGTTCTGACCCTGAGAGCAAGCTTTAGGTCAGGGGGTTCTGACCCTGAGAGCAAGCTTTAGGTCAGGGGGTTCTGACCCTGAGAGCAAGCTTTAGATCAGGGGGTTCTGGCCCTGAGAGCAAGCTTTAGGTCAGGGGGTTCTGACCCTGAGAGCAAGCTTTAGATCAGGGGGTTCTGGCCCTGAGAGCAAGCTTTAGGTCAGGGAGTTCTCCAACCCTGAGAGCAAGCTTTAGGTCAGGGGATTCTGACCCTGAGAGCAAGCTTTAGGTCAGGGGGTTCTCCGACCCTGAGAGCAAGTTTTAGGTCAGGGGGTTCTGACCCTGAAAGGGTTAAAATGCAAGTTTCTGAAAATATGTCAGTGGAAGACAGGTTGAAAGATCAAAAATGGATCACATACAACAGAATGTACACTTACAAAAGATACAAATAAAATATAAATCATAAAATAAATATATTTATAATGAAAATTGCAGTCATATCTTCAAATATGATAAAATTTATACAAGGCTTATAAACTTATACGAGGCTTATAAACTTATACGAGGCTTATAAACTTATACGAGGCTTATAAACTTATACGAGGCTTATAAACTTATACGAGGCTTATAAACTTATACAAGGCTTATAAACTTATACGAGGCTTATAAACTTATACAAGGCTTATAAACTTATACGAGGCTTATAAACTTATACGAGGCTTATAAACTTATACGAGGCTTATAAACTTATACGAGGCTTATAAACTTATACGAGGCTTATAAACTTATACGAGGCTTATAAACTTATACGAGGCTTATAAACTTATACAAGGCTTATAAACTTATACGAGACTTATAAACTTATACAAGGCTTATAAACTTATACAAGGCTTATAAACTTATACGAGGCTTATAAACTTATACAAGGCTTATAAACTTATACGAGGCTTATAAACTTATACGACGCTTATAAACTTATACAAGGCTTATAAACTTATACGAGGCTTATAAACTTATACGAGGCTTATAAACTTATACAAGGCTTATAAACTTATACAAGGTTTATAAACTTATACAAGGCTTATAAACTTATACAAGGCTTATAAACTTATACGAGGCTTATAAACTTATACAAGGCTTATAAACTTATACGACGCTTATAAACTTATACATGTACAAGGCTTATAAACTTATACGAGGCTTATAAACTTATACAAGGCTTATAAACTTATACAAGGCTTATAAACTTATACAAGGCTTATAAACTTATACGAGGCTTATAAACTTATACGAGGCTTATAAACTTATACGAGGCTTATAAACTTATACGAGGCTTATAAACTTATACAAGGCTTATAAACTTATACGAGGCTTATAAACTTATACGAGGCTTATAAACTTATACGAGGCTTATAAACTTATACAAGGCTTATAAACTTATACGAGGCTTATAAACTTATACAAGGCTTATAAACTTATACGAGGCTTATAAACTTATACGAGGCTTATAAACTTATACAAGGCTTATAAACTTATACAAGGCTTATAAACTTATACAAGGCTTATAAATTTATACGAGGCTTATAAACTTATACGAGGCTTATAAACTTATACGAGGCTTATAAACTTATACGAGGCTTATAAACTTATACGAGGCTTATAAACTTATACGAGGCTTATAAACTTATACGAGGCTTATAAACTTATACGAGGCTTATAAACTTATACGAGGCTTATAAACTTATACGAGGCTTATAAACTTATACGAGGCATACGAATTCACGTGAAACCTACAATTTTTACAAGGATTACAAATTTTTACAAGCCTTACACAGTTTTACAAGGCTTACAAATCTTTACAAGGATTACAAATTTTTACAAGCCTTACACAGTTTTACAAGGCTTACAAATCTTTACAAGGATTACAAATTTTTACAAGCCTTACACAGTTTTACAAGGCTTACAAATCTTTACAAGGATTACAAATTTTTACAAGCCTTACACAGTTTTACAAGGCTTACAAATCTTTACAAGGATTACAAATTTTTACAAGCCTTACACAGTTTTACAAGGCTTACAAATCTTTACAAGGATTACAAATTTTTACAAGCCTTACACAGTTTTACAAGGCTTACAAATCTTTACAAGGATTACAAATTTTTACAAGCCTTACACAGTTTTACAAGCCTTACAAATCTTTACAAGGATTACAAACTTGTCGGGTGTGAAGTTACAATCTCCACTGTTGTTGTCCACAGTGGTTAATCAAAGGTCATACATAGAGTTAGAATAATTTCAAAATGTAGTCAAATGGCACATACTGTATTAAATACACCAACTTTCTAAGTAGGGTTCTTATATAGCTTACATTAAATGTATGTAATGAAGTGTCCGCACCAGACTCCTTTTATGCTGGTGAGGAGCTGACTCAGTTATTATAACACTGAATCTGATGACCTACCAGTCCCCCTGACACTGTATTACCATGACCAGTATAGTGCTCCCCACTATAATAATAATAATAATAACAATCATAATAACAGTAATAATAATAATGCAATGAAGTCAAAGTCTTGATCATAATATTTGTATATTTAAAGATTTGTAATAATTTATAATCTCCCTTGTTTAAGTAACTACTGTACACACTGGAGAGGTACCAGCTAACAAGATGAATTTCTTCTTTTTTAACTTATACACACGAATTTTCTCCATGGGGAAGTGGGACAGAATTGTTTCTCTGTAAGCCATGTGTATCAGAAGAGGCGATTAAAATGCTAGGAGCAAGGGGCTAGTAACCCCTTCT